ATTTTTGGTTTTGGTTTTCCTTATTCTCTTTTGTTCTACCTGTATAATAAAACGTAAACTTTTTGCCCTGGCCACTGTGGTATTTGTTGCCTTTAGAACGGCTTTCTTATGATGTTCCCTAAACAAGGTCGTAACATAAATTGGGGGCTCGTCCGGGATATGAATCGCCTTTTGTTTGATGAGCTACTTTTGGTTTGTAGCATGCTTTGTTACTTAATGCTTTTGTTTGGACTGCTATATTTGTTTTGTAGAATGCTTTGTAATATTTATGGAATGCTACTTTTGTGTTGTGTAGTTTGCTTTGAGAGATTGAGGCAATTCTACTTTTGTGTCTTGTACACAACAACAGTGATACACAGCAAACGAGACTGACCGAGAAAAAAAAAAAAAGAGTGAACTGAAAGTAACTGCCTTTATTCTTTCTGTTTTAAAGATATTTTAAAGGGGTCCTATTATGCTCTTTTAAAATTTCTTGAATTTGTTTTGGGGGTGTACTAGAACATGCTCTCATGCTTGGTGGTTCGAAAAACGCATAATTTTTTTACATAATTTACATTATTACAATACCTTTCTCCCCAGTCTGGCACAAACGGCTCGATTAATTCCGGGTTTGATGAACGCCCGCCTTCTGAAAAACAAAATGTGTTGTGACTGGTTAGCTGTCCCAGTGCGTTGTGATTGGCGAACAGCTTAGACAGTGTTTCAGTACTGCCCCACCCCTTGCCAAAGCAGCAAGTTTAGTTAAAGCTGCAGTCTGTAACTTTTTTTGGTTAAAAATGATCCAAAATCAATATTTGAGCAAATACATAACCAGCCAGTGTTCAAAACTATTGCCTTACTTTATCCCGATTCACAACGGTTAGCTTATAATAATGTTTTCTAATTTGAGTGGTACGGGTAGGTTTTTGCGGGAAATTCGAGCATGGCACTGCGTCATTACGTCACTTCTGTAAACATAAAGAAGTTGTTCCGGCTAGTAGACTATCGCATGTGAGGATCCTGCAGGTGGCCGATCGTTTATAGCCTTTTCTCACAGCAGCCAGAATAATTACTTGTATCATTTTGATGGCGGATTGTAATCCAGAAAGGATCATGTGTTTATGAAACACATGTGAATGAAATTTAATTATATTCCAGTTATAAATGTGCTTCTGATTACAGATATCCTGGGATTACAAAGATTTGTATGAAATCTAAAGAACACCAGTTCGAAGGGAGCATAATTTGCTTTTTGGGTTAAAATAATTTCTTAATATGAAATTCGAAGAGTATGACAATTAGATTAGACTGTGCATAAATTGAAATCTACACGCTAATACACACTACTCACAGTCACCAATGCTGATGTTCTTTACATTAATCATTTGAGAATAAAGTATAACAATAATAATAATTTAAGGATGGCGTCAATATCGCCATATCAATTTGAGGCGGATTCAGACCCAGACAATATTGAACAAGAGGATCGCGCAGAACCTTTGCACGCACGGATATTGCAAGACATATTAGAGTGGTAACGTTATTGTTGTTGTTTTTTTTGGCTAAATCACGTTTTAGATGGGATGTCAACAACCGCTTAAAAATAACTGCATTGACTATGTACTAAGTGCATATGTATTATTTTTATTGTTATTTAATTCTAACATTATAACATGAATTGCTGTGAAACTGTTATACAGTTGAATTTATTTATACCATTGTCCAGTGTTTCCCTGGCGGCATATATATGCAAACTCATTCTCTGTGAGCAGGAGGCGCTGTTGGAGTGATAGAGATCAAGGTTTCCCCGGCAATGGCTGTACACAAAGCAGCGCTCCGTTAAAAAAAACACTGCTTTATCAGACATTACATGCTAAACATTTTTCTCTCACGGGTCGCCTATTGAGGAACCCTGGTGCAGAGGGTGGGAAGAGGGGAGAAAACAACCAATAAAACACAGACCTACAACACGCTCATTACACAGAAAATGTATATAATAATTGTAATAATAATAACAATTATGTATGTATGTATGTATATGTATATATATATGTATATATATATATGTGCAGTTTGCAGATTGATCTTTGCATTTAGTTCCTTCACAGTGACCATGCCTTTGTATTAACAATTGATTGTTTGATTCATTTATGCAATTATTTATTTATGCATTTATTTATTTGTTTATTATTCATTTTTATTACATTTTTCATTAATTTCATTTATTTAATTAATTATTGTTTTGTTTTAAAAAAATATATTTATGCATTTATTTATATTTGAATGTTTATGCATTTTTCTTTATCTTTTTGCTTGTTTTCTTTTTGTTTATTTATTTTTATTTATATATTGTGATGTTTAGAGACTATTAAATGTAAAATCCTTCATGCCACAATGATAGGCCACAATTCAACCGAGTGATAACTCACTGAAAAAATTATGCAGCTTATTACCACATATTTCCACATAAAAAATTATAGTAATAAGCAGTTAAAGTTTCTGTTTAAATTCTTTTATTATGCAAGAAAAGAGAGAATGTGGGAAACATTTGACCACAGATTACCATAATCAGAATAAAATATTCCAGCAAGTCATATAATATGCATTAATTATTAACATATCTCTGCATAAAAAAACAGGAAAACCATAAACTTAACTTAATTCAACAAATAGTTGTTTCTCTGAAATGTGCATGGTTTCAGCTTGGTACTTTTTCTATTTAATGTTTAAAGACATTCAATCAGATTGAAGCCAATTTTGAAAATACTTTTTCCATTTTCATTTGCAGTGTGCGTCAGATGCGTCTGAGGATGAGTCTAGATGTCTTAAGCTTTTTCTTTAAAATGTTTTCATTTTTTAATTTGGCAGATATATAATAATTTTTATAAGCATTTGTGTTTTCTGGGAGTTAAACTCATGACCTTGAGATTGCCAGCGCTTGGCTTTACTAGTCGATGCATTGAAAACCATGTAGATTACAAGAAATCTATTGAAATAAATGGCTGTTTGTTGGCGTTGTTTGTTGACGTGTCCTGGGAATCTCAGACTTCTGTCCTGGAATAGCTTGTGCGAAGTTTGTCTTTGTTGAGTAAAATGAAGGAAAGCAGAAGTCAGCCCTCATTTGAGGAAAGCCGGCTCACTGCTGATGTCAGACGCTGTGATTTATTCTGCTGTGACCCTGATTTGAATTCTGCCTGGTAAAGTGCCGTCTCAAAGTTCAGGGACAGGCCAGTTATTTAATGCATAAGCATTTTGTGCATGCGGTCGTAAAAGGATAGTGTGGATTTATTTGTGAGAGTTTAAACTGGCCTGAACAGCATGATAAATGAGCTTTCAGGAAGACCAGCAGGAGTTCCTGTGTGTGTTTGCTCCAGTAATGACTCCTCATTGAAGAGAAACAGATTTACATGGATTCAGCTCTTACACAAAGCCCCGCCTCCCACACTGATTGACAGATTATGTGCCACGCCCATTTCCTGTTTTATTGATTGTATGGCATTTGATTTCTTCCCCTGAAGTTATGGAGCAGATGCCAATCTGCACTTTCAGGTGTGTGTGTGTGTGTGTGTGTTTGTGTGTTGAGATATGTTTGCTGTCTTCTGCAAGGATAGAGATGTTTAGTTGAGGCCTTTTAATCAGAAAATATTTGGCCATTTTAAAATCAAGTGTTCCGACTCCTCATTGAAGAGAAACAGATTTACATGGATTCAGCTCTCACACAAAGCCCCGCCTCCCACACTGATTGACAGATTATGTGCCACGCCCATTTCCTGTTTTATTGATTGTATGGCATTTGATTTCTTCCCCTGAAGTTATGGAGCAGATGCCAATCTGCACTTTCAGGTGTGTGTGTGTGTGTGTGTGTTTGTGTGTTGAGATATGTTTGCTGTCTTCTGCAAGGATAGAGATGTTTAGTTGAGGCCTTTTAATCAGAAAATATTTGGCCATTTTAAAATCAAGTGTTCCCAAGTTATTACCTAGACATAAATGTGTGTGTGTGTGTGTGTGTGTGTGTGTGTGTGTATATTGATATTGAATTATTGTCCAGCCCTAATATATATATATAGTTGGTTCTTTTAATTTCAGCATGTTCACATCTATTTTTATTTAATTTCTTTTTTAATTATAAATTACTATTATAATCACTCATTTACTCACATTTGGTTAGTCACCTACAAATTAGATACTTAAATATGAATTTTTTTAATGTTATGCCATTTATTTATTTATTTTTGATTTAAATTTTTTAAATTTTTTTTTTACTTGATTTTTTTTGCTTTAAAAGGATTTAGATTTTTTGCTTTTTCAGTATGGTCTATTTATTTGTTCATTTTTTATCTATTTAGAATTTTTAATAAAAACAACTCTGGTCTTTTAAATTCAGTGCTTTCAACTATTTATTTATTTATTATAAATTATCATAATCATTAACACTATTTTTTTTACATTTGGTTAGGCATCTACAAAAAGTGAAGAATCTTAAATACTACTTTAGTATGTTTTTAATGGAAATTCTGTTCTTTTAAATGCAGCGTTTTCAACTCTATATTATTTTCCTTTTTTACAAATGATCTGTATATTATGTCTTTATAACTTGATTTTGTGGTTTTAAAAATATTTAGATTTTCATGTTTTCAGTGTCATCTGACTGTTTTTATTTATTTAGAATTTTTAATAAAAATATTTGTTTTTATTAATTTGCTTACATTTTCTTAGCTGTAGTGCAGAAGACTAAATATTACTTGCTTATCTTATGTAATGTCATTTATTTGTTTGGATTTTTTAAATCTAAAACTACATTTTGTGGTTTTGAAAAATTTTGATTTTCATGTTTTTAATGTGGTCTGTAGTTATTTATTTATTGCTTTAAAAACAGGTTAGCTAGTTGGCTGATATATTTTATATTTCAGGTCTGTGGGTTTGCTCACTTCAGGGTGTAAAGAGATTATTTCACCTGCTGCGTGTGCGTGTGCGTGTGCGTGTGCGTGTGCGTGTGTGTGTGTGTGTGTGTGTGTGTGTAGACTGCAGAGAGATCCTGTTGCCTTTGATGACGGAGCAGCTCAAACTTCACCTGGAGAATCATGAGGAGCTGGACTCCTGCTGCCAACTGCTCAGCAACATCCTGGAGGTGCTTTACAGGAAGGACGTGGTGAGAAACACACACACACACCGCTCTCTGCTTCTTAAAGCAGTAGTTCACCCAAAAATGGAAAAGCAAAGTCTCCTAAAGTGCAGTATTCACTGAAAGGCAAATCTGTGTGTTTATCCCGTGTCACATCCTTCAACTTTTGTGACCTGTATGTGACCCACTCAGAGATGTGAGTTTATTTAATTATGCATAATTCATTTTTGGCTCGTGTTCTGACTGTTAATTGGCTTCTACGGCACTCGACTGTGTTTTAACCGGGCAGATATCCAGACGAGCTGCTCTCTTCTCCATCATTTGATTAGTTACTGCGGTCATGATCAATAGAAAACTTCCATACCATCTCTGTCAAATGAAATGTCCTTTAGCACTACTTTTAGAATAAGTGCATTTTTAAACAGCCTCATTTGCATACAGTATTTTAGCCAGGTGCATTTAGTATATTAAGTGGTTTTGAATAATAGAGCAATGAAATACTGCACAGTAAATGGTGCAATAAACTCTCTCGCCTTTACTTTGGTTCTTTGTTCCCATCTTTACATCAGCGTTATTATCGTTAACTTAACAAAACAGGAAAAAAAACTTTTTAAAAACCTAAATGTATTTTATTTAAGCTAGTTTCCAAGCCAGCATTTCTCATTTTCATTTAGTTTATCTTGATGTACTAAAATAACTAAAACAAAAACTGAAATTAAAAACTATATAGACTTATAAAAAAAGGCAAAATATAGAATTATTAAAACTTTAAAATAAAATTAAAGCAGAGGATATAAAAATTAAATGTACTAAAATAACTAAAACTGAAATAAAAAAAATATATAAACTGTATAGACATTAAAAACGTAACTAATAAAATGACAAAAACACAAAGTCAATAAACTTCAACTAAAATTAATATAAAAGCAGAAAATATTAAAAACGAAATGTACTAAAATGAATAATTTAATTTGTTAAAAATGACAACAAAACTACTAAAACTAACTAGAATGTAATTGGAAATATGAATTTAAATGAAATGAGAAAAATAAAAAGTAATTAAAAATATGAATACAAACTATAATAGTGTCTAGAAGACACTAAAATAACACTGCTTTACACATGCATGAGTGCACGTCACTGATTTCCTCACTTCCTGGTGTTGTGGGTGAAGCATCCTTTATTTAAGCATCCTTATTTGTGTGTGTGTGTTTGCTTGATAATTGAGTGTGTACGTGTGTGTTGCGTAATACACACGTCACAGTCGAGCGCAGAGCTCTCTTTCTCTTACTCTCCAGCAGCATCCTTTGAGGAGGACCTTGGAAAAGCTTGTTTTAATAATTGACGATCTGCTGTGAGTGTATCAGGATCCCCTCTTAACAAACACACAGCTCGCAGCGATGGATCTGATGCAGTTTGCTTTTACACCAGTGAAATTTGAAGAAATCTCTTTACTGTGCTAACTAATTCAGTATATCTGTCCTTGCCTAGTAAACATGACTCCAGCAGCGTTAGACTCACTTCAACACACTTATTTAGCATCAATATTCAAAAGATATTTCAAATATAAAAAAGTATATTTTATGATCAGCATTAATCAATATTGAATAGAAAACACGATTTACTGCCCATAAATATTTCGTACTGTCCATGTAGTTTCAATCATTTGTTCGTTTCTGTGATTGTTTATTCATTAATTCTTTGATTGATTGATTGATTCATCCATTCGTTCTTTTTTCCATTAATTTATTAAAGTATTAATACATTAATAAATAAAATAAATTGACATGCTATTTTAATAAATCAAACTAATCCTAAATAATTGCATGTATCATTATTTGGTGAGAAAATCTACTGAAAATTAAGATAAAAGTGTTTGTGTCAAATGAGAAAACTATTGAATGAATGCATTTAAAAATGCATTAATTGTATATATTATTTATTTTATTATATAAGTATTAATACATTAATAAATAAAATAAATTGACATGCTATTTTAATAAATCAAACTAATCCTAAATAATTGCATGTATCATTATTTGGTGAGAAAATCTACTGAAAATTAAGATAAAAGTGTTTGTGTCAAATGAGAAAACTATTGAATGAATGCATTTAAAAATGCATTAATTGTATATATTATTTATTTTATAAACACAAGATCATGTCCCGCATGAACATGTCTTAAATTGACAGCAGTAATTATCTATTTATTAAAAAAAAAAAAAAAAATATATATATATATATATTTTCCCCTGATTAGAAAATGTTCTCATTTTAATAAATTTGTGAATTTTCAAAATTTTTGTAATTTCCTTCATTTTAGACTTTGTGTCAAATGAGGAAGTCATTGAATAGACAAAATGCATTTAAAAGTTAATTTATTAGTTAATTTCTAAACACATGGTCATATCCCGCATTAGCGTGGTCTAAATTGACAGCCCTAATTATTAAGAATATATATATTTTTCCCTGATAATGTGGATGAGGCATTATTTCTATCCTAGATAATCCAAGATAAACTTTTGATTGACATTTTCCACTGGCATGAAGTTGTGAAGGCTGTTTTCTTAAATAGACACCGTGTATTTTAACTACTGATTTCAGTCGCTCATGTTACCTATATCAGCGAGGTTAAGATTATCTTTCATGCACCTTGATTTAAATGATATATTATGTTGCAATTCCAGATAAATGGTGAATAACTTCTTGAAACCGTCACTGTTTGTTCTGAAAATGTTGTCTTGTGTGGATAAGTGATGTATTTGTGGTGGTTTTAGGGCCCGACGCAGTGGCACGTTCAGATCATCATGGAGAAGCTGCTGAGGACGGTAAACAGGACGGTGATCTCCATGGGCCGAGACTCTCCTCTCATAGTAAGTGTTTCTCTCGGTCACAGGGCTGTTCCTCTGGGATGTGCTGAGTTTTCGGTTTTCATGTGTCTGTGGTTAGTAACGGTGTGTTCTACCACAGCAGTGTGATCGGGTTGCTGTCTGCAATCCTCAGATGGCTCCACAAACACACACACACACACGCTCACAGCTAGGCTTTGTTCAGACAGGCAGCAAAAATCCAAAAACATTTTTTGGCATATCCAACTCAAATCCTTGTAGTTTTTGTGGTCTGGATAGAAAAATAACACATTGAAGCACACTTTAACACATTTCTGTGAATAATGTCTGTTTTCAAACAGGTTTCCCATACACTCTCTCCCTCATTGGTCTGCAAACTCCCAGCCCCGCCCCCGAACTCACACCATTGATTGAGCCAGTGCATTTGTGCGCGGTGTAAATATTTCTCAGTGTTTTGATCACTGTTGGTTTGTTAGTGTTGATTTGATTTTGAGCAGATAGTGTGTTGTTCATCTTCATCCTGTCCGAGCTGATCTGAGGTTAGGTGATAGTTTAGTCAGAGAGCTTTAGGCTGCCGCCAGTGCAAAGATGCTGATAGTGGCCGTCCTTGACTTTTACAGCCACATCTCTCCATATGCATGCTAAAATATCTCTCTTCCTCGCCCTCTGTACGCCTGTGTTTGTGTGTTTAAAGGAATAGTGCACTAACAATTAATATTTTCTCATGCTTTACCTAGTCTTCATTTCACTCCAAACCCTTTATGCAATTATTGTTAATGAAGAATAGAGCTTTCAAGTGTCAAAAAAGATGCAAAAGCACAAAAGTGTTAATGTTACAGTCCTTAAGTCATCAGATTGCTGGAGCTGAATTGGCAGCATTTCACCAGCACGTTTATGGCCATATGTGTGAATGTCTCTAGTGATTGATGCTTGATCACAGGCGTGCCACTGAAGTACTTTCCTGCCTTTCTCTGTTATTACCCCGCTATCATTCTCTCTCCTCTAGAGTTCAGCAAGTAGGTCTGTGGACGCTCTGCGCTGTGGTGTTACTATAGAACTAACCTCTGATTTATGCCTCTTCTTTCTACTGAGCTTATGTTAAAAGGTCTCTAAACTCCAGATGCTCAGGTCCTAATGGTGGAGTCACATAATGCCCATTCATCGCTCTCAGGGTACATATACTCTTTGCTGACCTTTGCAGTAAATCCCTCTGTCTTATGCGGTGCAGTCGTGTGCCAAGCCGAGCACATCTGCCGGGAAGAGGGCCGGGCGAAATATCCAACATTTATGAAAACTGGATATTAGACTGCAATTAAACTAGTTTCATTCTGACTTGTGAGTATAAGATAATTAAGACATTTTAATGTTACTTCTGTGAATTGTTTCAGTTTCTTTAAATCAAATCTTTGATTCTTTTGCATCATCAGTAAATGTTTGCACAAGTCTGTACATGCTTTTTGTAATTTGTATGTAGGTGAATGTTTGTTACTTTCACATTTATGCATTTTGGCAGTTGCTTTCATCCAAATCGACAAATCAGCATTTTCATTTCATGCATTTTCTGGGAATTGAACCCGTGACCTTGGTGTTGCTGGCACGCTGCTTTACTATTTAAGCTTTTTTAGTATTTATTATATTTAGTGTGCATTTGTTATATTGATGCATAAAAAAGATAAATATTCTTGTTCAAGCGAAGGAGAATGCAAGAACTTTAAATGACTTCAGTGGGAATCAAACCCATGACCTTACCGTTGCTAGTGCCATGCTCTACTGTTTGAGATACTAGAACTTTTTTTTTTTAAGTATGCATTTACTATATTTAGTATGCATTAATTATATTGATGCATTACAATGATAAATAACTATTCTTGTGTTCATTTGCTGAAAAGCAGTGCTAAAAACATGATTATGTTTAATAAGGGGTTTCAATTTTTGATTAAATTTAAATTAATCATTTTGAATCTAATTGGCTACAAATGACTTTTTCAGCTTATGCATTCCCTGAGAATCAAACCCATGATCTTGGCATTGCTAGCTCCTCTGTTGTTTGCATTAATTATTTTTTTTAAGTATGCATTTGTTAAATCGATGCATACAAATGACAGTTAAATATTCTTGTGTTTTAAATAGATGAATTATTGATTAAAATAGTTTAAATTCAACATTTTGGATCTAATTGGCTATAAATGGCTTAAAATGTTGCTTGACAAATCATGAAAAAAAAAAACACTTCAGTTTATGCCATTTTTACAGCATCGCCAAAGACAAAAAAAAAGCAAAATCCCAGCCCCTGCTTTTTAATTATGCAAACGTAATTATTTAATGCTGTCTGTCAATATTTGAAGGTCTCATAATTATTATATCCTTGTGATTGAAGCTATGTCTTTTATTTATTAGCATGTTTAAGAATGCACGTTCTGCAGATTTGGTTGGATTGTGTAGATTGATAATACAATTAGGGAGTGTGTGTGTGTGTTTGCTCTCTGTGGGCGGCTCTCTCATGCTGACCTTGTTCGTCAGGGCTCTGTTGCTTGGATTCAGATTTATGCATTAACTTTTCTCTGTGGTTTTGCTGGATGTGAGTGTAGAATTTAAATGAGACTGATCAGCAGCACACACACACACGCGTCCTGCATGCAGATGTGCACTTACAGTAAAGAAAGTCGAGTTAAATATTATTCTTAAACTTCAAAAAGTCTGAATCCTACAGATGTCTCTTGATTATCGACTGTGAATGGCACATCTCATCATGCAGTAGTTGAGGAGAGGCTTATATTTACTCTTTGACAGTGAAATAAGAGTCTAAAGATCCCATGGATAAAGGAGGAACCCAACTACATAATTTCTTTGAGAGCTAAGGGAGCTATCTTGATATTTTTCAACTAATATACATTAGCAACTACTTAGCAATGCCATGTTTAACCATCTAGAACACTTTATGTGCATAACAATATGCTAAAAACCACTCAGAACAACCTCTATAGCATCATATTTTGCATATATAGTGAGTATTGCATGATCGGATGACAAGATCTGGAGGATCACTCCAGTTTTTATGATCTGATGTTAGTGTTTTAGTCTTTTGCCTGTGTTGCATTCAAGAGCTTTATAAATCTCATCTATAGCATTCAGGAGGGTTTTCCTCTCATTGTCAGGATCTGTGCTGGAGTATTTTAGCTCCTCCCATTCCTCTGCAGTAGGAGGGGTCAGGCTTTTGATTGGCTCCTCTGTTTGATTGACATTGCAGGACTGACGGCAGGTGTGGTATGCAGCATCAGTGCAGCAAAGCCCTCCTAGATTTACATTCTCACCACAATCTCTCTGCATTAAATATACATTTGTGATGATAGAGAGGCTCTTTGGATTGATTTATTTCTATCTGTAGGTTTTTGCTGACTGTCCTCCTTTAAGTGCTTTTCAGATGATTTTTCCAAACTCTCTCGCATGGGAAATACCGAACGGTTGCCGCTGCTAGCATGCATGGGAATTCCCTGCTTAATAAACATGGAAACGTGCACGCACTCCATTGTGACCTGGAGAATTTTAATAACTCTCAGTCTCCTTTGCTTTGCTGCTGGGAATGAAAGTGAGGGAGATAAATATATTGAGGATCCCTTTGAATAGGAACATTATCTCATTGGGAAAAACAAAAAAACAGGTGACTTAATGCAGCTTTTCAGCTGCTTTAACGTGTAGTAGGGCTCCAAAATGGCTTTCTATTTGATTTGATTTTATCTGATTTTAAATTGAGGATGCACAATTATATCAGTATCCATATTGGCTTCTTTTTCCTATTCAAAGTAGTAAATAAAATAATTGATTTAACTTTAGTTAACTATAAATAATTGGTAATTGTTTTTATTTTAAATGATTTTATCACATTTTATTTTATCTGATAACTTCAATGTCCACATGGGCTTTTTTCCATTCCATTTTTCTTTTTCTTTCTTTCTTTTTATTGCTTATTTTTATTTAATTTTTTTTGCCTCAGGTGTTTTTTTAAACAGTTTTTTCCCCCTCATTATCTTGATCCTCACATCAGGCTTTGTACAAATATTAAGTATTTCCACAGAATCAATCCCATGAACTTACTGTTGCCATCTGGAGTGAATCATAGTCATGGGGTCTGTATTTTTATACTTATTTATTTTCTCCCTGCTGTTCCTGGATCGCTGCAGTGGGTTTGTTATTATCCAGTGTAATCTGGGTGGATAAATGATGAACCTGACGGGGAACAGCTCTCACTTTCTTTAGAATCTAAAGCTGCTTTTCTCACATAATTACATTCCAGCATCTGCAATGCAACAGTGGGGTCCCTGAGATCAAAAACCACATTTCCAGTGAAGTACGACATTACACAATCCTGATGCGAGATCACCATGGAAAACTCACTGTTACCATGACGTTTGAGTTTTTTTATACCTCATGCCAGTTGAGCTTGGTTAATGTCAGCAACCTCTGATTTATTTACCTCAGCTGCAGTGATTTATGAGTTAAATAGTTGAATAAATGAACGGTTTTATATCATATGTAATTAATAAATTAATCATTTGTTTCTACTCCAAATACTATTTTTGCTTTGAATAAAAAGCTATTTTATTTTCACAAGTATTTTTTAACTCATTTATTTATATCATTTTATTAATTTCATTTTTTACATGCCTATGGATAGAAAAGTTTTTAAAATGCGATATACATCCAGAAGTGAGTGCGCTGAAGCATCAGACAGACTCAGAGCCACTCTTTGTATTTTTTCAAGTTTTATTTTGTATAGTAAATAGTTTTAAAAACTGTATAAAATACACAATATTGCACATAATAAATCAATTGCACTTTTTTTTAAGGAACAGAAAACATCTAATCATAGGCTACAGTAGAGCTATTGAGAATCACAACTGCTGTGATACGAGAGGAGCTTGAATTGGGTTTCTGAAGTTGCCAAAATGGAGAGTGAATTCAGTGGAATGCTGTGGTTTTTTGTCAGTCAAGTGGATTATTTTGCCCTTTTCAAAAGACTTTGGCACATATCTGCAGATGGCACCCTGTTTTTGGCCTCTGCTGTCACATTCCCAGAATGCTTTGCTCTTGTGATGCCATTCTGTGGGCTGAAATCAGTATCGTTGGAGATGATTTTAACCCTGTTTTGCTAGATATTTTGATCACTTAAATGTTCTTTCATCTAAAAATGGGTGTGTGATTTTCAGTATGGTTTTCACTCTGTACTCAGTTCTGTACACACTGTTCTTTGCATTGCATTTCACTCACTGTTAGTGAAAACTGAATGTTCATTTAATCCACGTCGTGCATACTGAACCAGACCGAACAACTCGTTAATGGATCTGAGATGTGTGTTTGGCTTTTCCAGGTGCAGTGGTAAAATCACGCAGACGGCAGTATATGCCTCGACTCATTTGATGTATAAATGCATTTGTCAGTTTGCAGTGTGTATGTGTCCTGTATGTTGTCAGGAAAGAACGAGGCGTTTTCTTCCTGTAGTATACTGTCGGTGTGTCAGCTGAAGCTGAGAGATGTTTAAAAGCATAGCAGTGCGTGGCGTAGATATGACATGAGGTTGTGGGATTCTCATTTTGACCCTTTTTTTCTTCATCTCTCTCTGTATTTGGCCATATGAGTAAATTTGAATGACAAAGACATGTATTATTCTCTCTAAAATCAAGGTTAAAAAAGAAATAACTTTTATTTAGCTTAAGGAAAATTATTTTTTTAATGTTCAAGAATTTTTTATTTTACAATTAAACATATTTTCCCCTGCAATACTCATTACGGTAATGCATTTAAATCACTTGTGTGTGTGTGTGTGTGTGTGTGTGTGTTTGCATATATAAATATACAGTATATATATATATATATGTGTATATGTATATGTGTATAGGGATTATTTCACTCTAGCAGACTGAACAAACTTCCATATCTTGAAGGACCTTTCAGACTTGTACCCTGGATTTGATCTGGTCTTTATGTTTGTAGTTATGAGATGATTAAATAAGCCATTTTCAAAGGACTTGGAAAATAGTTGTCAACTAACATGAGTTTTCCAAATCTTGACAAGTCTACTTGGAGCTGATTGTGGCTGATGGTTCATGTAAGTTTCACTCTAGCAGACTGAACAAACTTCCATATCTTGAAGGACCTTACAGACTTGTACCCTGGATTTGATCTGGTCTTTATGTTTGTAGTTATGAGATGATTAAATAAGCCATTTTCAAAGGACTTGGAAAATAGTTGTCAACTAACATGAGTTTTCCAAAACTTGACAAGTCTACTTGGAGCTGATTGTGGCTGATGGTTCATGTAATGTTGATATCTGTGATATAATGCAATTTAATTATAGCAGTCTTTATTATAATAATTTTTTCACAATATTTACTTATTTTGCGTGTGCATTATCCATTGTTGCTAGATTTCAGAACTGAACTGATTGAGTGAGTATGAAAAATATGATAAATGTTGAATAAATTAAATATTGTTTTTATATTAATTTACTATTTTCATTTTCAATAATAATAATAATAATAATTATTATTAATACTTGTATTGGGTTTATTTATTTATTTAAATGCTTCCCCTAAATTCTTTAAATGCTTAGTCTGGGGCAAATTACACAGCAGCCTTTAGGGTTAGAGAACCATGGGTTAGAGAAAGAAAAAACACTTTTGGCCATTGTTAGATGCTAGTTTAATGATGCTGTGGCATGACGTGGCATATGTGGAAATTTATGTAAGCCAAGATTTAAAAAAAGAGCTTTAATATATAGGCTAACATTTTGTCACACCAGGGGTGTAGCCATCATTTCAGAAGTGACAGAAATATCAAATACAATAATTTTATGTAGGCCTATGTATGTATTTTATATATATATATTTATTTTTTTATTATTTTTTTTTTTATTTTTAGTATTTGAGTTATTTTCTTATCTCATACTTTGAATTTGCTATAAAAAATCAAATACACTGCTGGACAATAATCAATCATTTGTAATCTATATTTTTTTCCTAATGGCAATTTTATGATTGTTTTATGTACTACAAACAATTATTTCAATTTTCTGCACAGAATTAGGTAGAAAATGTACTTTATAATTTCTGTACTGTAATAAATGTCAATTAGCACTGCATCATTCAGAAATTGTATTTATTTATTGTGTTTATTGTCTTAACGTTTCACCAGTTCATTCTGCTTTTTTTCAGGTTAGCTGCAGTGATAGATGCCTTTGTCCATATTAGGCATTTTCTGGCACGTTCTTTGAGCGTGAGATCACGTCTCTTGCAGTGCAAAAACTTCTTTATCTAATTTTCATAAAATAAAATGCTATTGAACTTTTCCTCTCCATCGGCGAATGATGATTCTGAAAGAAAACGGGCCGATGTCTGTTTGCTATAGCAACAAAAGCTACTTTCATGCATCTGATTATCAGATAAACCTCACGCTCTTATTTCAAGGTTGTTGTTAATGCTGTGGTTATTTGAACAGATTCCTTCGTAGATTCGGTTCAACGACATTGTTAAAACACATTTATCATTCAATGGAACTGTGCGTATGCTTTAGACACTTAATTTTTTGATCCGTCCATGCAATAAATGCGCAGCCTTCGACTGCTCAGGTAATGACGTTGGCATGACCGAGAGGCAAGAGCCACTGAAAAACTACAGAAAAATAAAACTACTTGACTTTAGCATTACTGGCCACGAGTACTAAGGAGAGATCACACATCAGCTGCTCAAAAAATGTGTCAGTGAGACGAACGGAGTGCGAGCGCAATCCTGTGACAATCACTGCAGGCGGTAAATAGTGCAGCGCGTGAAGCAGAGATGCGAGGCACGAACACTGTTCAAGGTCTCCATTCATTCGTGCTTGTAGTAATTTAATGTGTATATAATTTGAAAGCATTGAATCGCTATAGAAATCGCAATTCATTTGATTATTAGCGTTTAAAATCTATTACTGTCCGAAATTGACGATTCACTATTAAAAAAATCATGTTTCAAGATCGATGCATATGCATCGTCAAGGTTTGTAATCGATGCATCGAGAAAACAAGCGAATCGTTACATCCCTAATACATACACATACACATATATATATTTTACTTTAATAAAACTATAGTTACTAGGGCTGTGTATCACCAGCAAAGTCACAATACGATACGTATCACGATTCTGAGGCCACGATACGATACATATCACGATACATGACTGCACTGAATTTCACCTAAGCAGAATTTAGAAGTTATGTTCCTCTGCGGCCAGATTAAACCTTGTTGTAGCCTATATATGCTCTCTTCATTCTTTTTTAGAAACCTCACACTTTTCTACTCAATTTAAAACGTTGTAAAATTTTAAACAAATTAAGCGCGGTACACTGCTGCACACGTGCCACAATATCGATACAGGGCCAGCTGTATCGATACTCGTATCATCAAATCTCTGTGACGATACATCGTCGTATCGATATTTTGAACACCGCACTAATAGTTACTACACTGTAAAAAAAATTGACATTTACAGTAAAATACCGGCAGCTGTGGTTGCCAGAACTTCACTGTAAAAAATATGGTAGCAACATTTTAGGCTTTACAGACTTTCACAATAAAATACCGTATTTCATTAACTGATGTAATGTTAATAAACCAACATATTGAAGTACTAATATCTGTTTTGAACCATTGTAATGCACTGATGACCAC